GGGAGCCGCCTCCGCTGCCGCCTGACGGTGCCTCGAAACCCGGACCTGCCTCCGCCTAGTCCTCCGGCGGCTCCATCCCGCCTCCCGCCGCCCCCGCCGCCGCGCCCCCGGCGGCTGCCTCGGCGGACCCGGGAGGCGTGCATGCCCCCGCTGCCCGCGGCGCTCACCAGCAGCATGCTCTATTTCCAGATGGTGATCATGGCAGGGACGGTGATGCTGGCGTACTACTTCGAGTACACGGACACGTTCACTGTGAACGTGCAGGGCTTCTTCTGCCACGACAGCGCCTACCGCAAGCCCGACCCGGGCCCGGAGGACAGCAGCGCCGTACCCCCCGTGCTCCTCTACTCGCTGGCCGCAGGGGTCCCAGTGCTCGTGGTAAGCCCGGGGGTGCTCGCTCGCGCCCCCGTCTCCCTTCTTTCGCCCTTCGCCTTGGGGGTTGAGGCCCCGCGGACGATCGGGGCGCGGCAGCCTTTGCCTTCTAAGTTCCTCCAAGTTGCGTGCAGCCCCTTCCCCAGAGGACCTTCTTCCAGGGCGCGTCAGGGTGGGTGCGAAGGAAGCCCCCGTCTCTTCCCACACGCCACCCCCGCAAGCCCTGTGGTGGCTGCAGTCTTGGGTGATGGAGCGGGGGATGGGAGGGAAGGGGGCTGTGGGAGGTAATGGGCGAGGGTCCGGGCTGGGGTGGAGGTGAGCCACTGGGATGAATTTTGACTACATCTACTCGGTGGCCTTGCTCTCGGATTGCGACGGGAAGATGAGCAGCCGCGGGGTCGGCCAGAGAGAGAGAGAGAGACAGAGAGAGAGAGAGAGAGAGAAGAGATCAATTGCTGGGGTGTGGAAGAGACTCCTGCTCCCGGCGCCTTGTGCCTATTTTACCATTTACCACCCCCTTTCCCCTTCAGGTGAAAGTGCCAGTGGAACTTAGCTGACCAGGGAACAGATCTCTGAAAAAGAATATGAGAACTTCTAAATGAAGAGGCTCCGCAGCAGTGCTAGCTGAAAAGCAGGAGCTGTGCCTAAATTCCAAGATTTATTTAAAGGCTGCTCCACTCCCGGGGCAGCTTAAGTCCTTTTCTCTTAGAGCCTCGCTGAGAACGCCTTTTGGATGTATGGGCTGTATGTGTGTGTGTGTGTGTGTGTGTGTGTGTGTGTGTGTGTGTGTCTATACGGACACACACACGTGTGCATATATGTAATTATTAGGATAATAATCAATAATTTACATATGTAAATATGGTGCAAAGTTATTGGTAGAATTGGTGGTGGTTCTTCAGAAAACATTATGGTTCCTGTAGTATTGCCAGAGTATCAGAGGTTCCCTTCCTCTGTGGCACTGCCTGCCTCCCTCTCTCTCTGCCACCCTCCCTCAACTGTTAACAGATAACAAATAGGAAATTAAAAACTGAAGAGGGAAGTGAAAAGGAAGTGTTATTTTCAGTGTCTGAACATGTAAATCACAGTAATGAAATGTTAAGAACATCTGTCATCTCTGTTAGGTTTGGCTATTCATGTTTTCTTTGATTTTAGGGGAAATAATTTAATAATTTACAAAATAATGAAAAGCACCTAACATGTATAATGGAATTCTAGGAACAAACCGGGTAACTTCTTGCTAACTTCAAAGTAACTTTGTTTATCACGGGTACTGTGATAGTTGACTTCAAAGTCAGCTGTGGCATACCGGTTTGAGAGGTGTTAGACCTTGCACCAGAAAATGTTTTGTTTTGTTTTAATGCTGAAATGTGTCAGAAACCCCAAATCCAGCTACCTATTTGTTTGTGTTCTCTCGCCTTCACTTGAAAAGCTGGGAGAGAAAAAATTGGTTTTTCTTGAGGCCCTTTTTGCTTTCTGTAGATATTTAGCTTCCAGGCACATGTTTTCTGGAAACTAAATAGTTCAGAGATTTTTCAAGGACTTTATTTACTTACTTACTTACTTACTTACTTACTTACTTACTTACTTATTTATTTATAGGAAAAAAGCCTGACATTTTCAGGACAATGGTTTGGTTACAACCATAATCAATAATGTCTGTAACCTGTCCCTTGGTAATTACCATTCTGTGTTTTCTTTAAATGAGATGCACTTTTCAGATCCTAACCATTCATCTATGGTGGCAGGTTGAGACATTAACATATTGGCCCAAAGATTTTGGTTATTCTCCACTTAGGGGGAACTAAGCAGGGGAAAGGGAATGAGTCATTCCTGGGTGCCTACTCTGTAGAGAGCACTGAGTTGTCATAGCCACGTGTTGTCAGAGCAACCCCTCCAGGAGATAGTCTCTCCAATTAACATGGAGGACATTGAGGGTCAGATAATAAACTACAAACACCTGAAAACAAAAATGGTGGGTGCGGTGTTTGTATGCCAGAGACAGGTGCCAGATGTCATGCTACTTCTAGTACTTCCTGAGAATGAGTCCTCTGAAGGGAAGACCAGAGATGGCTGATGGGCAGGCATCAAGGCAAGATCCAACTTCATTTACATGTTTTGACTTTCAGTGCTTCAAGTACCAGAGGAAGAATTTGGGAGTCAATCTGCAGAGAAGGAGGTGTTAGGTTTTGAAGGATAGCTGTGCTGCTGGTTTTTGCTTTCCCTTTGCTTTGGATAGTATACTCACAGTGTGAAAAGTTGGGAACAGTAATGGCAGCTCTGCCTTTCCATTCCTTTCAAGAACACTGGCTTAGCACAGTCATGTTGCATGGAAGTACTATTATTGCTAATAATGCTAGTAGTGCCTGTCATTTTTTGAGTTATATAATTTCACCCATCCAATATTTGCACTATCTCTGGAAGCAATTATTGTTATTGTCACCTATCATTTGAGAAAACTGAGACTTATAAAGATTAAGTAACTTGCCCAAGGACCAGAGCTAAAAATGTTATACCCAGAATTTTAATCCTACTCTGTCAAACTCCCAAGCCTTTGCCTTTTCCTTTACAATATGCAAATTTAGTTTACTCATAAATCATTCTTTTCAGTACATGCCTCAAACAGTCTCATTCTCCATCTCATATTTTTTGGACTGTAGTGATAAAGGTTCTTCATAGTCTATATATTTTTAACCTTTGAAACTCATTTCTAATGCTTTAGATTCATTGTGAAAGCAGCTCTCCTCACTATCATTTTTGGTTTCCTTTCATACTTTTTAAATTTATTTATCTCAAAGTTAAAAGCAACATATTTTTTCAATTTTATCACTTTTACATAGTGTTGACTCAGGGCCCAGGTTTGGAGTCTAACAAATTTGGATTCAGATCCAAAGTACTTCCTGCTGTTGCTATGCTAACAGTTGGGAACTCTGCTTGCTGGGTAACCTTGAACAACTTATTTAAGCTTGTTAAGCCTCAATTTCCTGTCACAGGATTTTGAATATTAAATTAGATATATAAACGTCATCCTTGGCTTATAGTTGATACTCCATAAGAGATCACTATATCATTATCAACAAAATAGTAATTTAGTAAATGTCTATTGAATTCCTGCGTTGCAAGCACCATATAAGGCAGAGTAGTGGTTATAAAGGAAACTTCAGACGTAAACCGTGCTCACTGATCCTAAGGAGTTTACAGCCTAATTTGGGAAATTATAACACGGCAAAGGTCATAGCATAAATCATCATAATAAAAGTGTTACATGTACATATATCCTTACATAAATATATATGTATGTACATAACACAAGGACCTCTGATGGTTCAGAAGAGGATGAAGTTATTTTTATTTGGAGGGGTAAGGAAAAGCTTCATGAAAGAAAATGGTGGCATTTGAGATGTGACTTGAATGAGAGGCTGAAATAAAATTTGAGTCAGAACATCACAGAAGCAGCTACATGAACAACCATTTGGTCACAAAAAAATGTAGGCTGTACTCGAAACAGCGGTTGGTTTGTCTTGTTCCTTGTTCACTGGTGTGTCAGGCAACACAGCGGGCACACTGTTGAGGAGGAAGACTAGGGTCTCATTAATGAGTCCTGTAATGCCAGGCTGAGAGTTTTTCTCAATTTGTGGGAAATTGAGTAATGTAGGGACATTATGTGATGGGTGGTGTTTTAGGACATTTTGGACAGTTTGTAGGGCTGTTTCATTATTAAAATGTCTGTATGAGGTAATTTTAAACTCTTTAAACCCAAGTCTATTTTGCACTGTTAAATAGTATTATTTTAATCATATTTTCCGAAAACACCTGTAATTTGGGCTCATTTACAAAGATGACATGGTTTACAAACTCTTCGAAAACAGATTTCTTTGGTTTGATCTGTATAGCATTGGCCAAAGCGCCACGTACAGAATTTAGAGATATAAATTTAATTAGTGATCTTGGTTTCCACTGAGTTAAAGAACTGGCGATGGCAATAGTTTCTGCTCCCCAAATTTGGACACAGTGGCCACTAGCAGCTATTGTTCCCTAGATCTCTAAGCAATACAGATGATCTGAAAGAGAAGGAACTAGATCTTCTATCTTGGTAGAGCCAAAACCGAGAAACCGGCACCAAGAGGAACAGGTTTGAGTGTTAGGGACATCTCCGATTCTTTATGCCTACATGCCCAGCGACGTACTTTTGTTTGTTGGTGGATTCTAGGGCTGATAAAATATTATCAGCCACAAAAATTGGGGAGTCCGAATAGCAAGAATAGTAAAAATCATAACTCCGTTCTTGGAACCAAGTCAGTGATTCCTACCTTCAAGATCTCCATTTCTTCAAGAGGGCTAACACTAGCTAATATTTCCTACACACTTGACACCGTATTAGGTGCACTAAATGCATTACTTCATTTAATGCTCACCATGGTAGTACTTTCTTTAAAGTACTACTTAAATGATACTACACAGGTACTATCATTAAGCCCATTTTATAAATGAGATATATGATGTTTAGTGAGATTATATGTCAGACTTGTATTAAAGATTTAAAATCCACTAATACAATTAATTTTCACAATAAACCTATGAAGGCAACTGGATATAAGAAAGATTAGATGACCAATTCAGAGTCCCACAGTGATAGTGCCAGAGTTGTCAAAGCCTGTGCACTTAGTTCTTTTGTTCTATACCTTTATCCTAACATATTAATGAATCTTTAAAGATTTTTAGTCATAATGATTCAACATTAGAAGAGTCAATTTTTTCTCAAGAATTTTATTCTCAATTTCAGTGTTTCTGGTTTGATGGGAAGCTGTGTGTTCCACTGTAGATAATGATTTCAATGTGTGGTGTAGGAAATTATGTTTTTCCGATTAAGCTTGAAATGTTGTGGAGAGGTGGGTGGCAGCAGAAGGGATTCAAAGAAATTTCTGTTCTGAAGCCACATTTCCTATCTCTGTAGCACACGCACACCGATATGGTGTGTGGCCACCTGTGTTTATGTGGAACCACCC